TTACTGGATCCCAAAAGTAGCCCCTTTTTAATAAAAGAAATAGTTCCTTTTTAATAAAAAAAAAAGTAGTTCCTTTTTAATAAAAAAAAGTAGTTCCTTTTTAATAAAAAAAAAAGTAGTTCCTTTTTAATTGACCAATCAAATTCATGTAAAGTGAAATGTTATCATACAAACGGTATCAACTGTAGAATGTGTTATTGGGTGATAAAATCTAGCATCATCAATACAACCTATCGTCGGTGAAGTGTCAAAAGGGTGTATCTCGGGATATTAGTCAAATACACTTTTTTTGCATTTTTAAAATCTCCCAATTAATATGCACATTTCTTTCAAAGCTGTGTATCTCTATGCCAATTAGAACTATTTTGGCTATCATGTGTCCAAATGTTGTATCTTGATTTGTGGAAATTTTGAAATATAGAAATTCTTAGATACACCCTTTTGACACTTCACCGACGCTATGCTACTTTTCATCTGGTCATATATACCGAAATGTACGGTTTTAAACACCATTTTATTTATACATGTGACAATTCTATGGAATACAATTACTGAGCGACGTTTCGACTAGGCTTCTCTAGTCATTATCAAGCAGTAATTGTATTACATAGAATGGTCACCTGTATACTCTAGTTCAATTACTAAATACCATTGAAACAGTTTACCATTTTATTCCTAGCTATTTATTTGTTGCATTTAAATCATGCATCTTTATTGTAAACAAACCTACTTTGCGTTTGTAAGTTTGAATAGCGTGTAGATTTTTTTTATTTAGACTTGAACTTGAACATGACAGTTACGTGCAAATTATTCGCCCACCAGGTGGAGTTGAACCACTCTGACGCTAATCAGCTACAGGTTTGAAGCCTGCACTCCTTTTTTTTTCTTGAGAAAATTTTATTCAGGTACTAATACAGCACAAATATACAGTACATCCGATTACATGTTAAAAAACATTCACTCATTCAAGTATATTAAATATACAGATGCACGCTAACAATCACACCCCAGACACACACATTTAAAATATATAAAAAGTACATAGTACCATTAACAACATAAAGATATTTACAATATAAGCACAGTGGGCTTCATTTATCTATAGCTTTCAATCTAGAAACTTGGCGAAAGTGCGAAACCATTTCGAGTTTAAAAGTTAGTTTCAATATTTAAAATAATAATTATATATCGATACATATAGATCCATTACTTTCATAAGAAATAAATAATGACGGCGAAATAAACTTTTTAATAAAATTAATATTATTTTTCTTACAGTACTCTCTTACATTATTAAAGGAGCTCTTTAATACATTTTTTAAAAAATTTACATCATCATTTTCTATAGTAGTAGTATTGTCAAGGGATTTCATTCTCCGTTTATACACAGAAATTCGGGCACAGCTTAGTATTAAATTGACTAATTCGTAGGGCTGAGAGTTGTTTTTGGATTGTAACCCAATTAAGAAATATGTTTTGAGATCTTCCTCAGTGACATTGGTAGATAATAAATTATTTAACATTTCTTTAATAATCATTCTTAGGTATAGTAAATCTAGACAATTAAAAAACATATGTATTATATCTTCAGTTTCTTCTTTACACACTGGACAAATGTCATCTAATGTTTTATTTATCTTGAATAATTTTAATTTTGTCCAAATAATATTGTGTACAACTTTATAATCTAATGTTATCATTTGCGGGTCTTTAAAACTTAAAAATACATTTTTCCATACAATATTCCAATTTATATTCATCACTATTTTCTCCCAAAATACAATACATTTTGATTCTACGAACAATTTCTTAATAAGACTGTTATAACAGAACTTAGTTGTTAATTGTTTTGGTTCAATTTTTTCGTTATCAATTGTAAAAATACATTCTTTTCTTTTTTGAAGATAGGTAGTATGGTTGTTAATAATAGTACACCAAGTATCGGGAATATAAGACTTTATAATATTATATTGTTTTAATATTTTTTCGCTACAATACTCAGGGAAATCTGTATGAATGATATCCAATATAGTATGAGGTGGCAAGAAGTCCGGTTTTACATAATATATAATATCATATACGTTTACAATATTACACTGTTTAAATATATCAAACTTCGTGGATAGTAACGTTTGATTATCCTTTGATATGAAAGGATTATTAAACAAGGGTTGACAAGAAATATCATAGATATCTATAGGACAACTTCTACAGTTATTATTTAGTCCATTCCAAGCACAAAGTAATCTTTGATAAAATACTGGTAAGTTCTTCATTAAACTAGTTTTGTAATGTATATTAAAAATATCATGGCTTAAATCGAGATCAGAGTATTTCCGTAGAAAATACGTCATTGTCTCTTTCCATACGGCGTTATGTGTATCATCACAATATTTAATTAACCATTTGATGCACAGTGCATCTGATTTGAAACCTATATGAGGAAGTCCCAAACCACCTATTGACTTATTTCCAATAATAGTTTTATACTGTATTTGTGGAGGCTTGTTGTTCCAAATATAGCTTTGCACGTGCTTTACAATGTCACTTTCAACGGTAGTCGGTATCGGTATAACGCTCGCTGTGTACCATAATTTAGATAACAGTAAACTGTTTGTGACAAGGATCTTGCCTTGTAAACTGATATTACGTTTAAACCACATATTTAAAATACACTTAATTTTATTAACTTTATCGTCCCAGTTAAGTTTTTCACACATTAACTTGTTCGGACCCAAATAAACCCCAAGAATATTAATACAGTCTTCTTTAACAATAATAGGATTATTGAATTCGTACTTTTTGTTGACGGATTTTCCAATAGGTAATAACTCTGTTTTATGTACGTTAATCTTAGCACCAGACGCGTTACAGTAAATGCCTAAAACTTCTAAAGCTTTGTCTACCGAATCTTGATCTCCAAGTGTTAAATTTGTATCGTCGGCATGTTGATAAATCAAGGAAGTTAAACTGCTATACTTAATAGAAATTCCTTTAATAGGGGAAATGAAATGAAATGAAATGGGGTTTAACGTCCTACTGTTCTGCTCCTATACTGGGCTAATGAAGACGGGCATTACAGTAAATGCCTAAAACTTCGAAAGCTTTGTCTACCGAATCTTGATCTCCAAGTGTTAAATTTGTATCGTCGGCATGTTGATAAATCAAGGAAGTTAAACTGCTAATAGAAATTCCTTTAATAGGGGAAATGAAATGGGGTTTAACGTCCTACTGTTCTGCTCCTATACTGGGCTAATGAAGACGGGCGTTACAGTAAATGCCTAAAACTTCGAAAGCTTTGTCTACCGAATCTTGATCTCCAAGTGTTAAATTTGTATCGTCGGCAAGTTGATAAATCAAGGAAGTTAAACTGCTATACTTAATAGAAATTCCTTTAATAGGGGAAATGAAATGAAATGAAATGGGGTTTAACGTCCTACTGTTCTGCTCCTATACTGGGCTAATGAAGACGGGCATACGCCATGCAGTGTGCTATGAGGGAAATTTTGCCCGGGCAGCGGCACTATCGCCTACTCTTATATCGAATTCCAACTGCCAAGGGATCTTTTATGTGCATTCCAATATATACACGGGATCTCGGTTTTTCGTCTCATCCGAAAGACTAGACAGCTGTCCTTGTCAGGCCCTCCGTTCTGCACCACTGACAAGGGGAAACCACGTCGGAAAATCCAGATGAACTTTCTCGGCCAATGCAGGGATCGAACACCCGACCTCCAGGCTAGCGAGCCAGCGTCTTACCCACCTAGCCACCCTTTAATAGGGGACTGTTTTATTAATAAATTTAGAGGCATTTAAAAAACTGGAGACCAATATCCTTATTACAAACAGATTTTAAGATATTATCACGTTGTTTAGCTTTAAGGATTAGAAATGTACTAGACACAATTATATCGCCAGAACAAACATGGTCAGTGCCAGGGCGAAATATTTCAGAAAATGTGGCAAGCATTCGTGATATTATAGACTATGTTGAAGAAGGGGATTTAGAAGGTTTTTATCTTAAAAATTGATGCCGAAAAGGCCTTCAATAGAGTCTCTCACACATACTTGATGCATGTTTTGAAATATTTTGGTTTTGGAGAAAACTTCATTAATTATGTAAGAATCATGTATACAGATATATAATAGTGCTGTAAAATGTAATGGCCACTTATCCCCTTATTTTAAAATTGAACGTTCAGTATGACAGGGATGTCCCATGTCTGCCATTTTATATGTTTTATGCTCAGGGCCTCTAAAGTTATTAATAAAACAGTCCCATATTAAAGGAATTTCTATTAAGTATAGCAGTTTAACTTCCTTGATTTATCAACATGCCGACGACGACAAGTATCCTCTTATCGTTATCAAGCTTGTCCAAATCTGATGGGACGAAAACCCTGTGTATATATTAGCGTGCACGTATAACACACTGTATGGCGTATGCTAGACTTCATTTGCCCAGGCGGAGCAGAACAGTAAGACGTTCAACACCATTTCATTTCATGTCATGATATTAAATCACTATGTCAATCCAGAAAAGGTCAATAACAACTTGTACTTTAGTTGATTCACGTCATTGTGTTAATATTACAAACACACAACTGCCCACACACTTCTACTTCATATCCAAACCCTAGTCCTCATGGGGGATTGGATGGCTGAATGGTTAGCGCGTGCGCGCTGTATCATAAGGTATGTCAAGGAGTCAGCTGGGGCGTGGTTTCGATTCCCCGGTTGTACGTGACAAGGAGTGGGGTCGCCTGTCCAACCTCGTGGGTTTTCTGCGGGTCCTCCGGTTTCCTCCCACTACTAAAGACCCCTACGCGCTAGCGAATTACTGAAATAAAATTGAACCATATGTTAGTCCCGAAATGGCCTAGTTTGTGTCGAATGGACGTTAAACCTCATTTCTCTCTCTACATTTGATATCGTATTCAACACCCCCGTCCCAAAACAACAACAACAAATACATGTAGGTTTATTATTTTCATTTATTTCCATTTCTGAGAATTAGTTCATAGCAGAGTTTATCTTGACTGTTGACTCTTCTCTTCCCATCAGATGTTTGAGGATTTTACTCTGAAAAATGTCATTAATGTATAGAGTGAGTAAATAATTAAAAACCTGTTACAGCTACTGTGAGTAATTGACATTTGTTCGCTAAAATATCATATTTCTAACGCCTTAATCTACGCTAATACGTACTCTTATTGATTATGTAACATTTAATTAAGAAAATAAAACAAAAATACCAAGGCTAGATGACCCTCCCCCCTTTCCCCCCAGGTATGGGTGGCCGAATGGATAGCGCGTGCGTGTTGTATCATAAGGTCTGTCATTGAGTCAACTGGCGTGGTTTCGATTCCCGGGTTGTACGTGACAAGGAGTAGGGTCGCCTGTCCAACCTTGTCGAATTATTGAAATAAAATTGAACCATATGTTAGTCCCTAAATGACCTGGTTTGTGCCGAGTGGATGTTAAACCCCATTTCTCTCTCTCTCTCTCTCTCTCTCTCTCTCTCTTTCCTTTCGGACTGATATTCTTAGTAAATATTCATCTTGCTCAAGATGGCGCATCGAGACTTTAATTTTATCATTGTATTCAATATTTACAAATATAGCCTACGAATTTAAATTTCTAACTTACTAGTATCCGGTCATCATACCGAGACCTCCAAGACCTCCCATCATCATGTATGGATTGTACATTCCACCCATCATACCAAGTCCACCTCCATACATACCCATACCACCCATCATGTATGGGCTGTATCCTCCCATCATACCAAGTCCACCCATCATGTATGGACTGTATCCTCCCATCATACCCATGTATGGACTGTACATTCCACCCATCATACCTAATCCACCTCCTAGAGCAACAGTGACTAGAGCCAGACAGAGAGCGAGAGATAAGATGGTGTTCATGATGATACCTGGAAAAAGATTTAGAGATAAGCATCTATAACTATCATCAAGAAGCAATATCATTTGTAACAAGGGACTCGAACAAAGAGGCTGTACATATTTCACAAGTCATGTCAAACGGGGACGCCATATTCTTATCTGGAGATCATGTGCAATAAATACTATCGGTGTGGACCTGTGTGGACTGGAATAACCAGACGCCAGAGATTGCCATTCGATAGAGACTTCTGGCGTATTTCGCCGAACATAACTGATTAGAAATTAGAGTAAAAACAGAAACGATTGAATGTAAATCAGTTTATATACATTCATATTACATTATTATATGCGTTGCAACACAAATATTAGCGACTTAGCTCCTTTAACGTCAAATATTAGCGATTTAGCTCCTTTAACGTCAAATATTAACGATTTAGCTCCTTTAACGTCAAATATTAACGATTTTGCTCCTTTAACATCAAATATTAACGATTTAGCTCCTTTAAGCCTCTATGACTATCATCAAATGTATGTATCAATATTATGACCTCGACCTAATATTGGTTTCAAATACGTAAAGAGGTTTTATTAGATAAACATCACGTAATACACCGGAAATAGATGATATTTTGATATATTGAAATAACAAAATACACCACATCATATCTATTTATGTTTTCAGACTGATATCGTAATTACGCTTTAGTGAAAATTTACCAGATATGATGTTAGAGCAACAATATCCATATATGGCTAAGTCTTTACAACACCATATCAAATAATTAATATATCGTTCATCCCAGAAATCAAGCCGAAATGTTTCTAGCAGTTAGCTCGCTCTAATTTGTAAGTTCCTTAAACTTTAAATTACAAATATATAATATCATAGTAGACGCATCAAGGTTTTTGTCAGGAAGCTGACTTTAAGTCCAACGAATTAACGAAACTATAAATGAATACATACCTGTTGAGTTGAACTGAAAGAGTTGTACTGAAGTCCTACAACATCTCGCTCATATTTATATGAAATCCTGTCAATATCAAATAATAATTAATTCTAGTCATTACCTTTAATGTTGGTAATTTATTGCGTAATGAAAGTCAATGGTTTATCTAATTAGGATGATAACTAATATACTTTTAATTAATACACTTAATAACTTGATCACCACTTCTTAAACAAACGTACGATACATTGCCGCCATTTTGTTCCCACTCCACTGTAAACCTATATGACACAAACTTTTAATTGATGTTCCCGAGGAACAGAAGTCCACATTGATTTTGGCCTTATTTTAGATTTTTTAAAAAAAATAGAAACTCACTTAGTAATTAAAACTTGTGATTGGCAGAAATGGAATCTGCGTCCCGAAATCATATATATCCCGATACCAAAGATGGCCGCATCTTGGAAATATGCAAATAGGTAAACCTGTGATCATTTTAAACAGTTGTAACTGGCAGAAATTGCATCTTTGTCCCTGAAAACAAATATATTTACACCAAACACTACTACTTAATCAAAATCAGCATATCTTCCGATTTTCCCGCCAAAAATGGTCGCCATCTTTGAAATATCTTCATGAAGTGATGAAAAAATATCTAAAATATAGTCACGACCCCTGCCAATATTAATACATTGCTAAATCACAGTTGATATGTCGATAACATCATAAATAAGGTGAAAATAAAAAAAAAATAAGTTGCAATATTATCACAAAATGTCTGCCCTCGGATAATGGCCTCCTAAAATTTCCCTCATAGCACACTGTATGGCGTATGCCCGTCTTCATTAGCCCAGTTTAGGAGCAGAGACAGTAGGACGTTAAACCCCATTTCATTTCATTTCATTTCGTTATCTAAATCTTACATATTGTATCTTTCTGATTTTAATTATTTAATTAATCTGCACACTATTGACATTCCTCAGAGTAAATGACAAGGGAAGAGTCAACAGCCACGATAAAATCTGTTATGTATTAAATTCTGAAAACAAACCTTCTCAGAATAAGAAATAAACAAGCCAACATCGAGGCTGATGTCCCCCGCCGAAATCCCGAAATAGATAGATGACACATATCAATTAATTGCACGTTTATCTTTTTCAAAAGTATCGAGCAATCAAACTGATTATCAACTATACACTAAGTTTCATCACTCTTTATCAGATAGAATCAACCCAACGAACATCAACATCAAGTTTAAACATTCTACCACAATTAAAAGCAGAGTTATTATGTTCCAAAGTCTTGACCAATCAATTGGTTATTGCTCTGCTTACCCTCAGGAGAAAATGTTCATTATTGAAATTAGTCGTTGTATTGCTGTGATGAAACTATACACCAAGTTTCATCACTCTCACTTAATTAGAACTAAAGTTATCGTGTCCCAAAGCATCAACCAATCAACTTGCTTATCTCTGCTTACCCTAAGCAGAAAATGCTCATCTTCGAATTCCATCAAGGCATCGACATAATAAAAACCTACACCAAGTTTGAAAATTCTAGCTCAATTAGAAGGAGAGTTATTGTGTCCCAAAGTCTCGAACAATCAAATTGCTTATCGCACTGTTTATCCTGAGCAGAAAATGTTCATTATCGAACTTAGTCAAGGTATTGATGTAATGAAACTATACACCAAGTTTCATCACTCTCACTTAATTAGAACTAAAGTTATCGTGTCCCAAAGCGTCAACCAATCAAATTGCTTATCTCTGCTTACCCTAAGCAGAAAATGCTCATCTTCGAACTTCATCAAGGTATTGGCCTAATAAACACCTACACCAAGTTTCAACATTCTAGCTCTATTAGAAGGTGAGTTATTGTGTCTCAAAAAGTTTGACGGACCGACAGACAGACAGACGAACCCATTTTAATAGTCCCCTGCTTTCTCCGAAAGGCGAGGGACAATTAACTGTAAAGCATTTTTTGTTGCTGGTGAGTGAAGTCTGTGTCGCTACAGGCCCGGGACTGTACAGCGCAGTGTACGCTTAAGGCTAGCCCCCCGGATCCATTCACTTTTTTTGAATTTTTTGTTTATTTGTGTTTTTTCTGAGTATGATGTCTTGTCCATGTATTTGTTTCTGTGTTAATTATGTGTGGTGCAGTCCCCCTGTTAGAGAGAGTTGAACGTTATGTCACTTGAATCAATGACAGACCTTAAAATCTAAAGTGTACATGCTAAACAACTTGGCGTGAATGGTGTTGAATATAGCATGAATTAATTTTCCATTAATTTCTATGTTTTGAAATTTGATAGAAAACAGCATTAATGGGACTCGAGTGGTGGTTGATTTATAAAGACCTTGAAGAACTTAGAATCAAATTGGCTTGGCCTTGTAGAAAGTTTAGATAACACAAGAATTTACCGCTTGTATAGAAATTCAGTAAGTGTTTGTTATCTCTATAATTCATTCATAACTGATGAATAAAAATTAACCCGGGTCACAAGTCGAGATAACACACTAAGGGAGATAATATCCATGAATCACTGTTGAATCACAATTTATATATTATATTGAAAAGTTGTAAAAGGTCTATATTTAAGAATTGAATCTATATTTAGAAAATAATAGGACCAAAATATATCAGCATAAATATTGTTTTAATTAATCATACGTAGAGAATTAGAACTAATATTGTTTAATTTATAAGCATTGATTATAGTTATTATACATTACATATCGGTAACCATTATTTTTTTAAGTTCATACTGACGTTGTTTATAAAGGATTGTACTGCCTGTATTTCATTGCCTACCTGAGCTTCGGGGGTCCGGAGTGCAGGCTTCAAACCTGTAGCTGATTAGCGTCAGAGTGGTTCAAGTCCACCTGGTGGGCGAATTATTTAGACTGGCTTGTTCAAATCTAACGAAGAATAACATGTGTTCACGTGTTCGAACTACTGATGTTTAGAAACGCAGGGCTGGTTATACAGGCCAATGTTGGTTCATGTTTTAAAATGTGATATATGGCTAGAAAAACATCATAGTGTGTATAAGGTCAATCGAAATGAAATGAAATGGGGTTTAACGTCCTACTGTTCTGCTCCTAACCTGGGCTAATGAAGACGGACATACGCCATACAGTGTGCTATGAGGGAAATTTTGCCCGGGCAGCGGCACTACGGCCTACTCTTATATCGAATTCCAACTGCCAAGGGATCTTTTACGTGCACGCCAATGTGTACAGGGGACCTCGGTTTTTCGTCCCATCCGAACGACTAGACAGCTGTCCTTGTCAGGCCCTCCGTCCTGCATCACTCAAGGGGGAAACCACGCCGGAAAATCGTGATGAACTTTCTCGGCCAATGCAGGGATCGAACACCCGACCTCCAGGCTAGCGAGCCAGCATCTTACCCACTTAGCCACGTGATCCCCCAATCGAAAAGAAACATAGGTTGCGGTGACGCTATTAGAGTCTACAATTTCCTTCTTGACACTATTTTATCTTTCTATGATTTCATATAAAGTGAAAATTAATCTGACATTTACTATTTTCTAATATTTAAATCCCTTACTCTCACAACGGATCGCCGTGAAAGTGTTTTTCTTTATAATTTCAAAACATACAAATATAAAACGTCTTTTTTATGTCCGAGATAATTTCTCGTCATGTATTTCAGTGCACAGATTACGGTCGATATTTTTCTTTTATTCGCTTTTGAGTCGGTCTACGTACTGACGACATCCTGATATTTAGTTTTTAGAGTATATTAAACAATAATACGAGTTGTATAGATAATATATTGACCAGTTGAATAAACTGATGTAAAGATAATATCAAGCGCATTAATTCAAGTGTAAAATATTGAATATATAGAGAATCCCTTCTTACATGCACAAATAGATAAATATAATTCTTTGCTGTAGATTTCACGTTTACTGAACATTACGGCGTAGTGATACATCATTTTTTGACAGCAATTCAACCATTGCAAAGTCCTTTATATTGACCCAGTGTTTCCATCAAGGTCAATTGAATAATAATAGTTCATTTTTAATAAAAAAAAAAGTTACTTTCAATAATAAATGAGCTGTTCTTTGAAAATAAAAAAAAGTAGTTCCTTTTCAACTGACCAATTAAATTTATGTAAAGCGATATCTCCTAAGATTATGAAATATATCACACAAGCGATATCTACTGTAGAATGTATTATTGGGTGATAAATAAGTTGTATAGGTTCGGTTAATATACACTGTCAATATAATACAAGTATACATTTACCACATCTTTACCGTATAAAGACAGTCCCATTGGAGTGTGCTATAGTTAATCCCATTTACACCAAGAGGTTTAACGCGTGTGCTCGCTTTAGATCGTAAGGTCTGTCATTGATTCAAGTGGCGTAGTTTCGACCCCACACATGTAGGTGACAAGAAGTAGAGCCGGCTGTCAAGCCCATGGGATTTCTCTGGGGCTTCCCGCTTTCCCACTGCTAGAAACCTCCAGGTGCAAACTAATTATTGAAATATAATTGGACCACGTGTTAGTCCCGAAATGACCTGGTTTATAATATCCACTTGGTTTAGTGGACGTTACGCCCCCTCCCCCACTCTCTCACCTCCCCCCCCCCTCTCTCTTGCAAAACCGAAATCCCGTGTACACATTGACACGCACGTTAAAGATCCCTTGATGGTAGGAATTAGATATATGAGAACAGCAGGGCGTGATATAAACCGCATTTCATTTCTCTATCTATCTCTCACTACTGCATATCGTGATATGTAGATTATTTGGACAATAAGAGAATGTGTAATTGATCGAAAGAGTTAAGTATGCATTATGCAAGAGCTAAATCTGCCTATTTGCAGGTCTTTCATTAGGCCTGAATTGTTATCTAAATTATTAATAAGATATTTATTAACATATCCAGACCATAATCAACTCTTGATGCCATCATTAGCCAGTGATATTTACTGGATTTGAATACATTTTGTGATGGATAATCGAGACATGCTTTATTATCACACCAAAGTTAGTAATGACGTTCGAGGCTAGCCAAGGAGTGAATAG